AAGAAATACAGACAATTATAAGAACATACTATGAGCAACTCTACGCCAACAAATTTGACAATCTGGAAGAAATGGATGCATTCCTAGAGACATATAAACTACCACAACTGAATCAGGAAGAAATAGAAAGCCTGAACAGACCCATAAGCAGTAAGGAGATTGAAACAGTCATCAAAAATCTCCAAACAAACAAAAGCCCGGGGCCAGATGGCTTCCCGGGGGAATTCTACCAAACATTTAAAGAAGAACTAATTCCTATTCTCCTGAAACTGTTCCAAAAAATAGAAATGGAAGGAAAACTTCCAAACTCATTTTATGAGGCCAGCATCACCTTGATCCCAAAACCAGACAAGGATCCCATCAAAAAAGAGAACTACAGACCAATATCCTTGATGAACACAGATGCAAAAATTCTCGCCAAAATACTAGCCAATAGGATTCAACAGTACATTAAAAGGATTACTCACCACGACCAAGTGGGATTTATTCCAGGGCTGCAAGGTTGGTTCAACATCTGCAAATCAATCAATGTGATACAACACAATAAAAGAAAGAACAAGAACCATATGATACTCTCCATAGATGCTGAAAAAGCATTTGACAAAGTACAGCATCCCTTCCTGATCAAAACTCTTCAAAGTGTAGGGATAGAGGGCACATACCTCAATATTATCAAAGCCATCTATGAAAAACCCACCGCAAATATCATTCTCAATGGAGAAAAACTGAAAGCTTTTCCGCTAAGGTCAGGAACACGGCAGGGATGTCCGTTATCACCACTGCTATTCAACATAGTACTAGAAGTCCTAGCCTCAGCAATTAGACAACAAAAGGAAATTAAAGGCATCCAAATCGGCAAAGAAGAAGTCAAACTATCACTCTTTGCAGATGATATGATACTATATGTGGAAAACCCAAAAGACTCCACTCCAAAACTGCTAGAACTTGTACAGGAATTCAGTAAAGTGTCAGGATATAAAATCAATGCACAGAAATCAGTTGCATTTCTCTACACCAACAACAAGACAGAAGAAAGAGAAATTAAGGAGTCAATCCCATTTACAATTGCACCCAAAACTATAAGATACCTAGGAATAAACCTAACCAAAGAGACTAAGAATCTATACACAGAAAACTATAAAGTACTCATGAAAGAAATTGAGGAAGACACAAAGAAATGGAAAAATGTTCCATGCTCCTGGATTGGAAGAATAAATATTGTGAAAATGTCTATGCTACCTAAAGCAATCTACACATTTAATGCAATTCCTATCAAAGTACCATCCATTTTTTTCAAGGAAATGGAACAAATAATCCTAAAATTTATATGGAACCAGAAAAGACCTCGAATAGCCAAAGGAATATTGAAAAAGAAAGCCAAAGTTGGTGGCATCACAATTCCGGACTTCAAGCTCTATTACAAAGCTGTCATCATCAAGACAGCATGGTACTGGCACAAAAACAGACACATAGATCAATGGAACAGAATAGAGAGCCCAGAAATAGACCCTCAACTCTATGGTCAACTAATCTTCGACAAAGCAGGAAAGAATGTCCAATGGAAAAAAGACAGCCTCTTCAACAAATGGTGTTGGGAAAATTGGACAGCCACATGCAGAAAAATGAAATTGGATCATTTCCTTACACCACACATGAAAATAGACTCAAAATGGATGAAGGACCTCAATGTGAGAAAAGAATCCATCAAAATCCTTGAGGAGAACACAGGCAGCATCCTCTTCGACCTCAGCCGCAGCAACATCTTCCTAGGAACATCGCCAAAGGCAAGGGAAGCAAGGGCAAAAATGAACTATTGGGATTTTATCAAGATCAAAAGCTTTTGCACAGCAAAGGAAACAGTTAACAAAACCAAAAGACAACTGACAGAATGGGAGAAGATATTTGCAAATGACATATCAGATAAAGGGCTAGTGTCCAAAATCTATAAAGAACTTAGCAAACTCAACACCCAAAGAACAAATAATCCAATCAAGAGATGGGTAGAGGACATGAACAGACATTTCTGCAAAGAAGACATCCAGATGGCCAACAGACACATGAAAAAGTGCTCCACATCACTCGGCATCAGGGAAATACAAATCAAAACCACAATGAGATACCACCTCACACCAGTCAGAATGGCTAAAATGAACAAGTCAGGAAATGACAGATGCTGGCGAGGATGCGGAGAAAGGGGAACCCTCCTACACTGTTGGTGGGAATGCAAGCTGGTGCAACCACTCTGGAAAACAGCATGGAGGTTCCTCAAAATGTTGAAAATAGAACTACCCTATGACCCAGCAATTGCTCTGCTGGGTATTTACCCTAAAGATACAAACGTAGTGATCCGAAGGGGCACGTGCACCCGAATGTTTATAGCAGCAATGTCTACAATAGCCAAACTATGGAAAGAACCTAGATGTCCATCAACAGACGAATGGATAAAGAAGATGTGGTATATATACACAATGGAATACTACGCAGCCATCAAAAGAAATGAAATCTTGCCATTCGCGACGACGTGGATGGAACTAGAGGGTATCATGCTTAGGGAAATAAGTCAATCGGAGAAAGACAACTATCATATGATCTCCCTGATATGAGGGAGAGGAGATGCAACATGGGGGGTTAAGGGGGTAGGAGAAGAGTAAATGAAACAAGATGGGATTGGGAGGGAGACAAACTATAAGTGACTCTTAATCTCACAAAACAAACTGAGGGTTGATGGGGAGGGGGGTTGGGGGGTGTGGGTTATGGACATTGGGGAGGGTATGTGCTATGGTGAGTGCTGTGAAGTGTGTAAACCTGGCGATTCACAGACCTGTACCCCTGGGGATAAAAATATATGTTTATAAAAAATAAAATAAAAAAAAAAACTTTAGGGGGAAAAATGCATGGAAGACTTCAACTAATTCATGGGAATTTACATAACTTTACTGGGCATGTTTGACCAACCAAATTTCACAAACATGTATTCTGGTAGAAAATAAAGAGCCGTCTCAATCTAGGACAGCTTTCATGCCTTAAAGATAAGAAACATGTAGCAAAACAGTATTTCCTGATTCTTGCACTTGAAGACTCCTATTTTTTTCCGTTCATGTTTCAAGAATTCACAAAAACTAAGTTATGCACAGGAGGTGTTTTCCTAGCCTGGGCAAAAAGAAGGCATCAGATTCAGGTCCTTTGATTTTCTGGTTCCTGCTTCTGGTCTTAGTTAACCCTTTTCTTTTAGGATGTGGCCCTAAGGTGGTCCCTTAGATATCACCCAAAAGTGAAACAAATCTGGAAGATTCTACTCCTAAACAAAAAGAGTCAGACATATGTTTATTTCATGTAGGTCTCCTTTATTCTACAAAGAAATCTGGACATGATGGTGACAAGATTAGGCAATGCAGCACAGGTTATATGGGAGAAGCGTGTTTCGTGTGAACTGGAATCACAAGTTAGATTCAACAATTTTCAAAATGTTCAAATTTAAGTTTGTTGTTAGTTTTTCTGTGGAGAGAAAATAGCAACAAATGAAAATTGCTGAGGCCGTAGGCATTTTATTAGCATCCGGAACTAATTAGCATTCACTAATGAATCCACCCCCCACAAGGTACTCAAGTTGGTCCACTCAGTGATGTTTTTAAAAGGAGGGAGTGACTGGGGGCACCTGGGTCACTCAAGTCTGTTAAGGGTTGCTTTCGGCCCAGATCATGATCTCAGGGTCCTGGGATTCCCATTTGAATCTGTCTCCCTGCTCAGCGGGGAGCCAACTTCTCCCTCTCCCTCTACCCCTTCTCCCTCCTTGTGTTCTCTCTCTCTGGTTTTCTCTCTACTCAAATAAATAAATAAGATCTTTAAAAAAAAATGGGGAGGGAGTGACTGCAATTTAGAAATATTTTAGCAACTGGTGCTGGTTATGTAAGGGCGATGCTCACAATACATCATAATCAGTTTATATCCCTGAAAACATATTTAATGAATTTCTTATCTAAAGGAGGCACATTTAGAAACCTTTTTTTCATAAATGGTTTCGTCATAAATGTCACATTTTACATTTTTCAAAAAATACTATTTTTCATAAAGGTAGTTTTTTCTGGGGTGCCTGGGTAGCTTAGTTGATTAAGCATCTGACTTCGGCTCAGGTCATGGTTCCAGGGTCCTAGGATCAAGCCCAGTGTCTGGCTCCATGCTCAGTGGGGAGTCCGCTTGTCCCTCTCCCTCTGTGCCTGCACCCACTGCTCCTGTTCTCTCTGTCTCTATCTCTCTCAAATAAATAAAATCTTTAAAAAAAAGAAACTTTTTTCTGATTAAAAAAACAAACCAGAACAATATGTCATCAATATTGGGTATTTGTTTTCATTCATGTATGTTTTAAAAAAGGATCTGTATGTTTCTATACATTCTGGTGTATCATGCACCGTCTTATATTTCTCGAGCTGGTATTAGCATATCTTTCAGGTGTTTATTTTGTAACCTTTAAGCTATATTTGGCTATTTGATTTTCAAATTTAATTTTTATTAGAGCTTCAATATATGTTTTGTTGAGAAATCATACTGAAACAAAAATTTCTTTAGAATTTTTAGATATTATCCCTTTTTGTGCCAATAATTAGGGGGCTCTAATACATCTAAACTTAATTATTAAAATGAACAATAGATACAGTTCGTTCTGACAGATAAGTGGACTGGCATGCCTAGGAGGAGGGATGTTCCTTGTCCCTGGAGATAATCAACTGCACACTGGGATGACTTGAATTATTTGTAGAGCAAGTTCAAGCAGTAAACGAGTATGTGGACATTGAAATAGATGACCCTCAAATTTCCTTCCAACTTAGAGATTCTAGTTCTTTGATTTATTCTTACTGCCTGAATATGCACAGATCCAAAGACACTAGAGACCCCAAATTCTCATATTTACATATTCATTGTGCCCTAAACAACTTCTACTCGAGGTATATTTGCCATAACACTTAATTACACCTTAAATATAGAAAATAAAAATATTTCCACACTTACTGAACTTCATGACAAAAGAAGCAATCATTAGGGTAAGTTTCGCCATCAGATCCACAAATTGGTGCATATATTTCATAACAAATTCCCTCTTTTCCTGGTGGTAACTTCTTATATTTACTGCAATCAACCTGGAGATACATATTAAAAGCCTTGAACCAAATCTTTTTTCCCAGAATTTAGGATTTCCCAAGCAAGTTTAGAGGGCTTTCAAATCATCAGTTTCTTATTCTTTTTTTTAAAAAATATTTATTTATTTGACAGAGAGAGAGAGATCACAAGTAGGCAGAGAGGCAGGCGGAGAGAAGGGGAAGAAGCAGGCTCGCTGCTGAGGGGCTTGATCCCAGGACCCTGAGATCATGACCTAGCCGAAGGCAGAGGCTTAACCTGCTGACCCACCCAGGCGCTTCTAGTTTCTTATTCTAATTGTCCTCATCCAGCCCCTTTGAGATATGTCAAGTATAGAGATTTCTTACATCAGATATAAAATCACAAGTGATAAACTTCTTTATGATAGCTTATAACCAAATAATTTATCTAAAAATTAAAATTTGAATTTAAAAACATACATGGCAGAGTCACAGATGTAATCATTCCCATGGCGTTAGTTTTCTACACATCCTGCTATTTCTCTCTTTCACTTAAGTTCTACCTGAATGCAAGTATGAGATTATAGGGATACTTCCTATAGTTTTAAGAACTAGCACATCACTAGCAACTTTTGCCATTAATTATTGGTCGCAAAGCATGTGTTATACACTTCTTCAGTGCATAGACAGACACATGCATTTTACTGCTGTCGTTGAGAACCACTGTTGGAAATGCCAGGAGGAAAGCCAACATGAAGGCCCCTGCAAGAGCACGTCTGCAATCACCAAGATAGGGGTTTTCTGCAGTTTTCATCTATGAGCGAATTGAAGAGTATAGAGAGCAAGAGTCAAACATGTCACATTTCAAATCCTGACTATATGACCCTGAAACCATCATTTTACTTCTCTAAGCTTGTTTCTTTACCTGCAAAATAAGGGTGATAATAACTACATCTTAAGATTGAAGTAAAAAATAAATAATCAAGAAGATACATGTAAAATGCTTAGCACTTCATGACATGGAAAATACTACAAAAATACTTGCTATTAGTTTTATCCCTTTGCTCTACGTTCAGGACTACACAAATTCTAGCTCTGTACAGAAGAGTTTACGTTTCAGTTTTTCTGACTTAGAGTTCCACATGTGATATGTTACTAATTGTTGAATGTCTCCACTTGGGTAGCCTAAAATATACCCAAACTTCAGGTTAAATTCATCTTCCCCTTCAGTTATGTTCCATTAATTGATCTATTCATTCCTTTGTTTGCCATACGCCCCGTACTTTCTAAGTTTTAGGATTGCGCTGACGGCTGGCAATACAAAGATTAGCAAACATGATAAAATGGCAGAAGGTGCTCAGAGGCGAGTGGAGTCTACTGGAGAATGGGAATGACAGTGCCCCTTGATGAGTATATGTCAGCATGATTTCACTTCTTCTCCTTGCCTACTCAAACCCCAGTGTCAGGACTTAAGTCATATGCACAGTGTGACCAAGAAATGACCAAGGCTTCATATTCATTAACTGTTTTCATTCTCAAGCAGCTACTAATTGTGAAGGATGGCTTGAACTCAGGACTGTCTGACTCCAAAATTCACACTCTTAACCCTCTTATTCGCTTTAATACATAAAATGAAAGACTCAAAGAAGTGAAAGAAGCTGCCTGAGCCCCACAGGCATACTGCTGAAAAGCCACTGAGCTTAGATTCCTGGTTTAAAGTTTTTACTACCACACCTAGATTTTCTCAACAACAGTTATTGCTTAATATGAGTCATAAAGGGAAGGTTAAATTAAAATATCCATTCCCTAAGATAAAGAACAAAGATGGAGGTGACCCATTTAGCATTATAAGAGTCATGACTTGGCCTTCTTTGGTGCCGGTATAGTGCTCAACTCTCTTCAAACACTGTGGTTTTAGCCCTCACAATAAGCTTATGAGGCAAGTATTGTTGTCTATGGCCACACGATCAAGGAGCTGGAATTCAAACCCAGGACTTTATAATAACTTGGATGTTAGGTGCCTAACCACTTTGTCCTACTACGTCCATTTCAAAAAGATCTTTTAATGAAATTTTAAAAGCAAAATCAGTTTTGATACTTAAAAAATCTTCAAACATGTAGCAATTTAATTAGTGTATAGTAGCAAATATTTCCTTGTTGATACTGGCTTTAAAATTACATAAAATATAAAAGTAAAACTTTTATATCAAGATGGATGTACTGACCTGTTGAGGGCATGTGGCACATTTTACATCTATAAGAAAAATAAAGACAAGAGAAACCAAATTAAACTCTGGAAGAACCTAATCGTGTTGAAAAATGATCTCTCGTTTATGTTTCAGTTCTCAGCCTATCAAAAATATCAGACTCTCTTCAGAACCGTGTATCAATATAATATCAAAGATTGAAGCTCAGCATAGATTTTTTTTTTTTCTTTTTTGGGTAGGATTAGATCATAGCCAAAAGCATGGAGAAGCTACTATAATAATGAGGAATTTTGTTCTTTCTTACCTCATAATCAGAGTTTAGAAAATACTGGAAAAAAGAAGTGGTTTTATATCTAGGGAATGTCTGCTATTGTGTAGGAGGCATATATGGCGGAAGCTGGACCAGCAGTTGAAATTCTTAGGAAGCAAATTTCAACTCAATGCAAAAATAATAAGAGCTCATGCTGCCAAACAATGGATGGGACAGGCTTTTTTTTTTTAATTTAAATTCATATTTAATTTCTTGAGGAATCTCCACACTGTTCTCCAAAGAGGCTGCACCAACTTGCATTCCCACTAACAGTGTAAGAGGGTTCCCCTTTCTCCACATCCTCTCCAACACATGTTGTTTCCTGTCTTGCTAATTTTGGCTATTCTAACTGGTGTAAGGTGATATCTCAACGTGGTTTTAATTTGAATCTCCCTGATGGCTAGTGATGATGAACATTTTTTCATGTGTCTGATAGCCATTTGTATGTCTTTTTTTTTAAAATATTTTATTTATTTATTCGACACAGAGAGAGATCACAAGTAGGCAGAGAGGCAGGCAGAGAGAGAGAGAGAGAGGAGGGGAAGCAGGCTTCCTGCTGAGCAGAGAGCCTGATGTGGGGCTCGATCCCAGGACCCTGGGATCATGACCTGAGCTGAAGGCAGAGGCTTAACCCACTGAGCCACCCAGGCGCCCCGCCATTTGTATGTCTTCATTGGGGAAGTGTCTGTTCATACCTTCTGCCCATTTTTTGATATGATTATCTGTTTTGTGCATGTTGAGTTTGAGGAGTTCTTTATAGATCCTGGATATCAATCTTTTGTCTGTACTGTCATTTGCAAATATCTTCTCCCATTCCATGGGTTGCCTCTTTGTTTTCTTGACTGTTCCTTTGCTGTGCAGAAGCTTTTGATTTTGATGAAGTCCCAAAAGTTTATTTTGGCTTTTGTTTCCTTTGCCTTTGGAGACATATCTTGAAAGAAGTTGCTGTGGCTGATATCGAAGAGATTACTGCCTATGTTCTCCTCTAGGATTCTGATGGATTCCTGTCTCACGTTGAGGTCTTTTTCCATTTTGAGTTTATCTTTGTGTACGGTGTAAGAGAATGGTCGAGTTTCATTCTTCTACATATAGCTGCCCAGCTTTCCCAGCACCATTTATTGAAGAGACTGTCTTTTTTCCACTGTATATTTTTTCCTGTTTTGTCGAAGATTAATTGACCATAGAGTTGAGGGTCCATATCTGGGCTCTCTACTCTGTTCCACTGGTCTATGTGTCTGTTTTTATGCCAGTACCATGCTGTCTTGGTGATCACAGCTTTGTAGTAAAGCTTGAAATCAGGTAACGTGATGCCCCCAGTTTTATTTTTGTTTTTCAACATTTCCTTAGTGATTCAGGGTCTCTTCTGGTTCCATACAAATTTTTGGATTATTTGCTCCAGCTCTTTGAAGAATACCGGTGGAATTTTGATCGGAATGGCATTAAAAGTATAGATTGCTCTAGGCAGTATAGACATTTTTAACAATGTTTATTCTTCCGATCCAAGAGCATGGAATGGTCTTCCATCATTTTGTGTCTTCTTCAATTTCTTTCATGAGTGTTCTGTAGTTCCTTGAGTACAGTTCCTTTACCTCTTTGGTTAGGTTTATTCCCAGGTATCTTATGGTTCTTGGTGCTATAGTAAATGGAATAGATTCTCAAATTTCCCTTTCTGTATTTTCATTGTTATTGTATAAGAAAGCCACTGATTTCTGTACGTTGACTTTGTATCCTGCCACGTTACTGAATTGCTGTATGAGTTCTAGTAGTTTGGGGGTGGAGTCTTTTGGGTTTTCCATATAAAGAATCATGTCATCTGCGAAGAGAGAGAGTTTGACTTCTTCATTGCCAATTTGGATACCTTTTATTTCTCTTTGTTGTCTGATTGCTGTTGCTAGGACTTCTAAAAGTATGTTGAACAAGAGTGGTGAGAGTGGGCATCCTTGTCGTGTTCCTGATCTCAATGGGAAGGCTGCAAGCTTTTTCCCATTGAGGATGATATCTGCTGTGGGTTTTTTATAGATAGATTTGATGAAGTTCAGGAATGTTCCCTCTATCCCTATACTTTGAAGCGTTTTAATCAGGAACGGATGCTGGATTTTGTCAAATGCTTTTTCTACATCAATTGAGAGGACCATGTGGTTCTTCTCTCTTTTCTTATTAATTAGCCAACATATAGTACATTATTGGTTTCAGATGTAGTGTTCAGTGATTCATCAGTTGTGTATAACAGCCAGTGCTCATTATATCATGTGCCCTCCTTAATGCCCATCACCCAGTTACCCCATCCCCCTACCCACCTCCCATTCCACCACTCTCAGTTGATAGGACAGTTTTATAAAGAAATGAGGTCTCCATAAACCCATAAATAGAGATATCAAGTCAAAGCAGAGTCTAGATGTACACTGACCAAATATAAATATTTATATGGATAAGAATTTGCCCTTAGCTGACCATTTAAGTCAACTCAGCCCCAAAGGTGGTATCATTTAGTGATTTATTGGTAGAGACAAAAAATGCATTTCAAAAAGCTTCCCTTATTATCTATGTGCTCTGTATATCCCAGAATTCTGTGAACAGAAGATGACATGAGCTGTTGGTATCAGGACAGAGGTGGTGTTATGAGGGAGATACTTACTGAAGATGGTCATAAGTGCCAGAGCCAAGAGCAAGGCAAAGGCTGTTGCTTTCATGCTGCTGAAGTGGCCAAGCGCAGTCAGATGGTAGCAAAACCAGTGACTTTCTAGTGTCTGCTCGGCCCACTTGGGTCTTGCCTTATATATTGTCAAGAGTTCTGCCTCAATTGTGAGATAGCTATTTCCAGAAACATAATCATGGGAAGAGGTCAGAAACATTTGCCAGTATGGGAATTCTTTTATTGTGAAATCAGATAGTTGCTCATGACATTTTAATAGATAATAGAATCCAATTAATCTGTTATTTCCTTATTTCTTTACATACTTGAGAGTTTGAGTGCTTTCACATCTGTTATACCATTGAATCTTCATAGTAAATCTATTGGATAGTTATTACCATTTTCTTTGTTTTACAGATGAGAAAAATGAAGTGACAGAAGTTAAGTAATTTCACCGGTTTTACTACGTATTCATCTTTTTACTACTTCCGGGAATACTCATCAGCGTGGCAGCCTTCTAAGTTCAGACATATTTCCAGTTTCCCCTCTTTCCTCTGATACCAAATAGGAAATTAGGAGATAAGACTCCAGACTGGGCACAGAGAAAAGGTATCAATATCCAAGTCTTTTGGGGGGCTGGGAAGAAAAGGGCAGAGGGACAGGGAGAGAGAGAATCTCAAGCAGGCTCCACAGCCAGCACAAAGCCCATCACAGGGCTCAATTACATGACCCCAAGATCATGATGCTTAACTGAGCCACCCAGGTACCCCGACACCCAACTCTTGATTCAGCAGAAAAAATAATGATTGATGCTCTTTAGCAGGGGGATAATTTTCCCAAGTATCTAAATTTGAGGAGATGGAACAGTGAGTAGAGCTGGTGAGCAGTCACACCTCATTTACCTGCCAGATCTCTGGTGGAAGCTTCTTTATCAAGGGCCCTTGGGAGAAGGGTCTTCTCAAGGGCAATAATAAAGAGCTATATGACCAGCTTAGCCAGCAATGGATTTCGTGACTGAAATGGCTGGACTGTCCCTAGAGCTTTGGCCATGATTCTCTAGTCCCAAAAACACAGCTTGATGATTCAAGAATGAGATGTTGACTTTGCCCTGGGCCATAGTTACATATGAGACCAGTGACATTTTACACTAATACAATCATTTTTAACAGACAAGCTCACCAAGCTACTGACCCCCTCAACTTGCTCCTTGGCTAAAAATCCCCCATGTTTTATGCAGACTTGAGCCCAATCTCTCTCTCCAATTACAATAGGAGTATTCAAGACTATACTTTGAATGACAGCTTCCTTACCATTTTAACAAGTGTCAAATACTTTAACAAGCTTACAAAATAAAGTTAATGGCACCATCATCATGAGCTTGTTATAAGTTTCAAATGAGATTGTATTTGTAAAGTTCTTATCCAGGGTTTGGCACATAGTAAGTTCTTAACAAACTTTGGTATTTGATGATAATGATCATGATAGCAAAGACAATGACAGTGACAGAGGTCTTAAGAAAAGAGTCAGAAAGCCCTTAAGAACTATCTTAAAATAAGAAAGTGTTGTATCTTTGTGGCTGTACTGGAAATGATAAACATTGGCATGTCATCACAAAAGGAACTTAGTGATGATCAGTAAAATTTGGTAATGACTAGAAGTAGTGAGATCCTTTTAAGTGTCTCCTTGGAGGTCAAATGAATACTTCTCAAGGACCTGCAGAGGTGATTCCTTTATTGAAATTGAAAACAGCCTCTGTCTGCATTTTTAAACTTTTCTTTTCTTTTTTTTTTTTTTAAAGATTTTATTTATTTATTTGACAGAGGGAGAGAGGGATCAGAAGTAGGCAGAGAGGCAGCAGAGAGAGAGGGAAGCAGGCTTCCTGCTGAGCAGAGAGCCCGATGTGGGGCTCGATCCCAGGACCCTGAGATCATGACCTGAGCCGAAGGCAGAGGCTTAACCCACTGAGCCACCCAGGCGCCCCTGCATTTTTAAACTTTTCTAACAGCAAAATACTTTGTTTAATGACAATAGCAGTAACAGTAATAATATTTACTGAGCACTAATTATGTGTCAGGTAGTTTTGAAATTGTTCTATGAATATTAACTTATTTAAATTTTAAAACTATATTAGGCAAATACTATTACTACCAAGACTTTACAAATAAAGGAAATGAGGCACAGAGAAAATAAACAAGTTGTCCAAGATCACAAGAGTACATAGTGGAATTGGAAAATGTTGTATAGAAGCATAATACACTAAACAGATAACTGACGTTCTCCATTCCTTGAAGAAGGACTATGGCATCTTGGCTTCCTTGTGCCCATCTTCCCATAATGGCCCTTGAGTCACACTCGTGGAGTCCCTAAGGGTCCACAGGTTGATTTGAAGATCACTATTCTAGGAGAGAAGTTCTAGGAGAGAAATTCCACCCTCAAGTGGTGACTCCAGCACGTGGGTCCATAGGGGTTCAGTTCAGAGGCAAGCACTACTTGAGGAAAAGCTTATCTGAATCAGAGCCTCGGCTTGGCTGGTTATAAGAGTGTGAATGCAGAAAAGAGAAGAGAAGAAAAAGAGGTTGATTTAGAAGGAGCAAGTTCACACAGACTTCCAGGGCCATGAAGGAGATTCTCTAGTTCAGGGAATAAAGAGAAGTCATCTGAATTGAAGCCCAAGAAGAATTGAATTTCTAGATTTTTAGATGTAAGATTAGAGGAGAACCAATACAAAGGTGACTCTCTGGAGGGTGTCAGAGAGCTGAGCTGGCTGGGGCTATAATTGCTAAGACCTCTTCTGCTTCTGGGGAAGACTGGCCAAAGTTTAGAAGCCACTGATATGCAGGCATGGATTAAGTGGTCATCTCTGGGGAAATGTTGCGGGATCTGGGATCAGGAAAACTTTAACACAAAGTCCCTTGAGCTCTTCAGAAATGTCTTTCAACACAATGGTTGTCCTTTCCTCCTAATAAGCAAGACCTTTGGGGTGCCTGGGTGACTCAGTGGGTTAAAGCCTCTGCCTTTGGCTCAGGTCATGATCCCAGGGTCCTGGGATCGAGCCAGGGTCCTGGGATCGAGCCCCACATCGGGCTCTCTGCTCAGCAGGTAGCCTGCTTCCCTTCCTCTCTCTCTGCCTGCCTCTCTCCCTACTTGTGATCTCTGTCAAATAAATAAATAAAATCTTTTAAAAAAATAAGCAAGACCTTTTAGGCAGCCCTGAGTTATACTTCTTCCTGAGAAGAAGACGAAGAAGAAGAAGGGGAAAGAGAAGCAGAAGCAGCAGCTTAAAATGTCACTATGAATTGAAGGGTTTCTTTCTTTTTTCTTCCCTTCTACTGAATTCTGAACTATTTTCAGTATGTATTGGTGGAGGGAGGGGAAGTAGGCAGAGCCTTATGATTTATTTGAGAATTTACTTAAGAATTCAGCCTGTGTGGCTTACCCTTCCCATATTATCTTGCTACTTCCCATTCTGAAGTCACTTCTGTGACACTGCTTTCTTGGAGGAACAGGTCTATCAAGTTACTAGTAGTACCTGTTTTGCAGGTACTAGAACACATTTTTGAATTTTAACTTTTTATTTTGAAATAATTGTTGCGAGATTAGAACAAAGAAATTTTCACGTACTCTTCACCTCAAGACTCCATTCACATTTTGCCATTTGTGTCAATAATGTCTTTATAACAGAATCATCCAATCTAATCAGACTGTATAAAAAAACTCTAACAGAAATTAACTCAAAATTATCAAAGACTTAAAGGTAAGAGTTATAACTATAGTAGTCTTAGAAGAAAACATAGACATAAGTCTTTGTGACCTTGGAATGGGCAGTGGTTTCTTTGATATGACACTAAGAATATAATAAGCAAAAGGGAAAATAAATTGGATTTTATCAAAATCCAAATTTTGCACTTAGTAGGACCGCCCACAGAATAGGAGAAAATATTTGCAAATCATTGATCTGATGAAGGCCTATTATTCAGAATATATAAAGCTAAACAGAATATATGCAGCTCAAAAATAGCCAGACTAATTATCTACTTAAAAAATGAGCAAGGGAGTTGAATAAACATTCTTCCAAAAAAGATATACAAATGACCAATAAATATGCTCATCATCATTTGTTATTAAGAAAATGCAATTGAAAGCCAAAATGAGTACCATTTCACATTCATTAGGATCACTTTTAAAAAGAGACAGGACATTGTCAAGGATGTGTAGAAATTGGAACCCTCATACATTGCTTATGGGAATGGAAAATGTCATAGCAGCTGCTTTGGAAACAGTTTGGTAGGTTCTTAAAAAGTTAAATGTAGAGTTACCCCATTGCCCAACAATTCTATTTCTAGGTATTTATCCAAAAGAATTGAAAGAAAAAAAAAACAGAGAAAAATTAAAAAAAAAAAAACTTGTATATGAATATTCATGTCGGCTTTACTCTTAATGGACCAAAATTGCAAACAATCCAAGCATCCATCAATGGACAAATGACTGAATGTAGTATAGCTATAGAATGGAACATTATTCTGCTACAGGAAGGGATGACATACTGACACACGCCACAACATGGGTTGACCTTGAAAACCTTATGCTAAGTGAAGGAAGTCAGACACAAAAGACCTATAGTGTATGACTCTATTAATGTATGATGTCCAGAATAGTAAATTCGTAGGCAAAAATTAGGTTCTTGGCCACCAGGGGCTGGAAAGATGGGGGAATGAGAGTGATTGCCAGTCGGTTTGGAGTTTCTTTTTGGAGTCACGAAAGGTATTGAAATCAAATAGTGGTGCTGGTTGCACAATTTTGTGAGCAGACGATTTTACATTTTAAAAACAAGAATTTTTGTAACTAATGTAATGCTGCTTGTTAATTATACTTCAATTTTTAAAATTAAAAAAATAAAAACGTGAATTTTATGGTATGTGAACTATTTCTCAACAAACAACAACAACAACAACAAAAGATCCATTCAGGATCATACAATATTATGTTCTTTAGTCCCTTTCAAAGCAGAATATTTAAAAGGCCTGTTCTTGGTTTTTCAAAGTCGTAGGTGAGTTATTT